GTCTGGAAGCACTTTGTCTCTTCCTGCCCTCTCTGGTCCTCACCAAACACATTCAGGCAGTCCTGTTCAGTGCTGTCCCCTAGAGGGAGGGTCCTGCAGACCCTACGCACCCATGGGGCAGAACTGTCTAAGCCAGCAACAGGAATGAGATGTTCTGTCTTGCAGGGGTGTGGGAGGCCAAGACAGGCAAGCCTCGTGATCTGAAGTTCACCATCAGCAGGCTCAGAGGACAGGCGGCAGGTGAGGGGAGCATTCAAGCGAGCAGGTGTAAGCCCAGTGGCATTGCACAGGACAGCTGCAGTGGGCCAACGCCAGGACCCTGGCGTCCCTGGGAGAAGGGGAGACAACGCGAGCAGGTGCAGAGTTGAGCAAGTGAGGGTACAGACCAGTGCCAAGCCCAGAGCTGACTTCAGACAGTCTCCTTGGAAACAACCCTCCGAGGCCCCAGCTAACACAGGTGCCCGTCATTGTAGCCTGTCCCCACGTCATCTCCCAGTCACAGGCCTCAAGGATGCCTCTGGTCTCTCCAGTTATTACAAGTATGTGTGTTTAAATTTAAAATAAGAAATCAGTCATTGAAAAACTCAGGCCTTTCTGAGCCAAAGCAGTCACTGCGAGGGACTTCACGGGCTTTCCCACAGACCCACGCTTGCGAGGAGGAAGTGAAGGCTCTTGGGAAAAGAGGCCTCTGGGTTCTCACACAAGCACGCAGACCCATCGTCCTACATGCAATCTCCCAGTCGTGAACTTTGGACCATCTTGTCATTCTCTCCCCCAGACCCCGGGCAGCACGAGCCCTTCTCTTCCCCTGACACTCAGCCTGGAAACAGGAGTCAGATGCCTTGCTTTGAGTCCTAGCTGGTATCCAGGTCAGCTAGCTCCGACACTCGCCCTGACCAGGACATGCCACACAGCGGGCACATGCCATACAGCGGGCACATGCCATGCCCAGCACCCACCAGGACACAAGCAGCTCCCTACTGCCCACCCAAGCTGCTTCTGTGTCTGATGGTCCTTTTAGTACTGGTGCTTAAAGACAAAAGTGGCAGGAGAATGGAGGGTTCAAAACAAATCAGTGCACTGGTGCTAAGATTTCAAATGGACAAAGAAAATCCAGGAGGCGCCGGCAGCCCTGAGCTCCAAATGCACGAAAGGGAGGTGCTTTTCAATCATCACATGTTTCTGTACACTCTCCTGTGCTCTCCTCTATGTAAACTGAGGCAGCCCTGACCCAAAGGGACCTCAAAGAGCCCAGGCAGTTCCCTCAGGTCTTGTCATTTCTGTCAGCCTCCCCTCTCCCCAGTCCAGTCCTGCAAATGGACCAGGGTTTTAGAACGATGGTGTCCAGATAGCCAACCGTGCTTTAATCCCCAGCAGCAGCCAAGTGTGAAGGTCTATGTCAGCCTCCCTGAGTGGCAGGAGGTTAGCATTGTCCCCTGGGGATGAGATGGGACGAGGGGACGGGCACATGAAATGGACTGGACGCAGTGGTGTCCCCTATGGGGGACACTGCTCCAGGAGCTTCAGGTGGGGCTGGGGGAGCTGCGACATTTGCAGTGCACAGCTAGGGCTCTGCTCTGGTCAGGAGTAACGAGCAGATCCAGACACCCCCACAAGAGCTCAGCATTCAGATTCTCTTCTTCCGACTGCTGCGGGTGGCAGTATTCAACATCAGAAGCAGCCAACTAGAAGGAAATAGACGATTTTACACGAGAAGTCTGTCTCCCCGTCCCGGGACCCTGGGCCACAGCTGCTCAGGAACCACCCCTGGGGACACTCTGGAGGGCACACAGTCACCCTCTCCGTCCCAAGGGCCCTGCATCTTGGCCAGGACACCAGCTCATGTTCCACGGCTCACTCCTCAGGGGCGGAGCTGGGGAGACTGTGCCTGCCTGACACCCACACGTTAGAGAGCATCCTGTGGGACCAACAGACACATCAGCACACGATGAAGCTGTGAGACAGGAAGACCACACAGCTTTTAAATGCTGGGCTTCGGGCCCCAGCACAGTAGCCCAGTGGCTAAAATCCTCACCTTGTATGCATGCCAGGATCCCATATGGGTGACAGTTTGAGTCCCGGCTTCTCCACTTCCCATCCAGCTCCCTGCTTGTGGCCTGGGAAAGCAGTTGAGGACGGCCCAAAGCCTTGGGACCCTGCACCCGTGTAGGAGACTGGAAAAGACTTCTGGCTCCTAGCTTTGGATCAGCTCAACTCTGGCCATTGCAGCCTCTTGGCAAGCGAAGCAACAGAAGGAAGATCTTTGTCTCTCCTTTCTGTAAATCTGCCTTTCCAATAACAATAAATAACTCTTTTTTAAAAAATGCTGGGCAACAATGTTAAACAAAAAGAAAGTCACTATAATTTTAATTACATGAAAATTGCATTATATATGCCTAATGACTAAAGAGCGTAAACATGAATTAGAATAAAATTTTAGATGGTTTTTAAGGTTTTTTTCCTATTGTTATAGTGGTGCTTATATAAATAAAATCAAGAGGAAGAAAATAAATGACATTGACGTAGTTACAACAATATTGTTCTACTTAAAATTCTATTCTTGGGAAAAATTAGCTTAACAATGTCCATACCCTAATGTGAAAATACGCATGATGGCTACCATTCATCCATTGTGTTTTATTTTCTTGTTTGAAATTTCTGTAATAAAGCATTTTTAAAAGAGCTATAATCATGCAATAAAATGAAGGGTTTTTTGAAAAACAGACAAGCTTCTTTCATTTTACAAATGGTGCCTGACCCCGTACAGAAGCATCATTGGAAGCTGTTTATTCACTCATCCCACAGTTTATGCCAGCAGCCCACTCCCAAAACGTGAGGATGAAGGGCTTATGAGTGGTCACTGGGAGAGGGAAGGTATGAGAAGGCCCACCCAAAGGGGCCTGGCTCAACATGTCCAAAGCAACACCACCAAGAGGTGTAAACACACCCACTTGTCTCCCCCAGCCTTGGCCAGCTGGCCCCCCATCTCCCTCATCTCCCTCCCCCAGACACCCAATGCACCCATCCCTGTCACCATGGCCCACACAAAGCTCCAGCTCACACACCAGCAGCGTTGCAAATGTATTACTCATATTGACCACTCCGTCCTTTCCCTGCAAAGTGCAAACCAGCTAAGAGATGTCCCTGTTGTTGTAAATCAGTGATGGGCTGGGCCTTGAATGCAGCCATGGGGTGGGAGGGAGGAAGCTTCAAATGCTGCTTCCAGGAACCACTGGTGCTGTTTCTACCACGTTTCCCCTGTAAGCAAAGCTGCCACAAGAACCATGGTCAAAGCTGGGGCACCTGCAGGACGCACCCCAAGCAGTCACACTTGCCAGCCTTCCTCCAGCTCTAACTAGCACCCTCTGTGGGCAGGCGCCTTTCTCTTGTGCTCCCTACAGAGAGGGAATAAATCCATACTTGGTCCTCTCCTTTCCTAGCGTGTCAACAGAGGATGCTTGAACACCTACTGTGGGCCAGGCACTGTGTCCAGGACCTCAGCACTGAGGCAGGACCTGGGCCGATTCACAGAGAAGGAGATCCGGGCTGCGACAGAGGGGAACACGGCGAAGGAGGTGGGACACAAGCACCGTGCCCTAGCAGAAGGGGTCAAGCGTTTCTCACGAGATCCACCTTAGCAGCAGCAGCTGTGCGCACGTCCCAGCGGCTCAGAAGCCCTCACACCGCCCTCACCGAAATCTCCTGTGATTTACCTAAGCCAACACCCAGGAAGCCAAAGAGGCGCCCAGCATGCCAGCTTCCGCCCGAGACGCTCCTGAGCACGGGCAGCCGGACCCAGCCTTCCAAACCCCCATGTGCCACACCCAGTGCTCACGGGCGCAGAGCCCTCCAGAACCACACCACACTTGTTTCTTCCTGATCTTGGAAGTTTTTCTACACATTTTTCAACTAAAATTATTCCAATCCTGAGAATTAGATGAAAAAACCGACATCTCTTTTAACATTTACTTTGCTTTGGGACAGAGCAATGTAGCAAGATAAAATTCATCATCAAATATGGAACTTTTTCCAATCAGAAGAATTTCTCAGCAGAAAGAGGGAAAAAAAGAATCTTGTTGGTGTGCTCCTTAAACTCAGATATCAGAGGGACTGGTGCCACGGTGGCGTAAGCTAAGCCTGGTCTACAGTGCCAGCATCCCGTACGGGCACACGTCCCGGCGGCTCCACTTCCCATCCACTTCCCTGCCTGTGGCCTGGGAAAGCAGCAGAGGATGGCCCCAGGCCCTGGGACCCTGCATCCTCCATGGAGACCCAGAAGAAGCTCCTGGCTCCTGGCTTCAGGCCAGCCAGCCTCTTAGTCTTTTGGGAAGTGAGCCGCCTATATGAAAATCTTGCTGTGTCTCCTCTGCCTTTCAAATAAATAAATCCTTTTTTAAAATAACAGGTTACTGCAGATCCACTTCTGTGGACAATGGCACTCCGAGGCATTTCAGGTTACCTGGCAGCATCAGGAACGAAGCACCTGACTTCTATGTCACCAACATGTATTTCTGCAGCCTGATTAAGTACGCAGGCAAAGTTTGCTTTGAGCAGTTCCAGTGTGCTTAGGAAAGCCCTGCTGATGTAGGTTGAATATAGTTCTAAAAACTGAGTTGCACTGAAGATCTGACAGTAAGGACTCAGTGGGCAGGTCCTGGGCAGCCGCGTAGCCACCGAGTAGCCTCACACTGCCGCGTGCCGGATTCTGTTCATGAACTAAACACACTTGATGTCTGGCCCCTCCAGCCAGAGCACGCAGGGTTTCTGTGACAAATGCCCACAACACCAGCTACAGTTCAGATTCCACTGGTTCTTTAAGAAGATTTTGTAAAGCAGCCCACTTCTTACAAACTTTGATTTTGCTCCAATCACTACAGTCCAGCTGCTTTGGCCCTCAGGGTTCTGATATAGAAATAATGCAAGCTCCCCACAACCCCGGCAGCGTCAGCGGTTCCCCTGTCAGAACCCCAGCTCCCTGGAAACCCCAGACAAGCACTCACTGGATGCCGCAGTCTGCAGAGCCAGTTCTTCCAGAGCAGGGCTTGGAACTGGCGCCCAGCAGGCCCCATGCCCACTGCTCCCAGCTCTTGGCCAGGAAGGCAGCCTGCAAGAAGGATGCTTATACCTGCCAGGCACAAAGGCGTAGTGCCTATCAACTCCAGCAACAGCGAATGATGCAAGAGAGAGGTGACTGAAAGGGACAGGCATCAGATGTCCCTCTGGCTATGAGGCTCAGTCCTCCCGCTGGCCCTGCTGTGTTGAGCCGGCTGGACTTACGGGAGGCTGCCCTTGGGCCCTTGCTGGCCATGTGTACCAGCTGCCCAGCCTTGCCCAGAGCCCGACAGCTGATGGCCACAATGGGGAGTGAGGCCCACTTTCACCACGCTGCTCCACTCTTCCCTTGAATTCATGGGCTGGAGAGGGTCCCCACGCTGCTCCATTCTCCCTGAGTCCACGGGCTGGAGCAGGTCCCCACGCTGCTCCATTCTCCCTGAGTCCACGGGCTGGAGCGGGTCCCCACGCTGCTCCATTCTCCCTGAGTCCACGGGCTGGAGCGGGTCCCCACGCTGCTCCATTCTCCCTGAGTCCATGGGTTGGAGCAGGTCCCCACGCTGCTCCATTCTCCCTGAGTCCACGGGTTGGAGCAGGTCCCCATGCTGCTCCATTCTCCCTGAGTCCACGGGCTGGAGTGAGTCCTCACACTGTGTACAGGACGTTTCCATGTGGCAGACAGGGAAGGAGTCTCCGGGAGGCGGGGAGATGGTGTCTCAAGGGCCCCTCTGCTGCTGCACCCCCACTTCAACTCCTCTCTCACCACTTCCCCTACAAGGGCTAGAAACTGTTTCAGACAGTAGACCAAGCACAGAGAGGGCTCTCTGGAAGGAGACCAGGGCAGGCCTGGCAGAATTCAGCCCGTGGCCTGTGGCTGCCTCTGGCCTGGCGGGATTCCCGCACAGCTAAGCTCCTTCTACTGCAGTGTCAAGGCGCATAGCTGCCGCATGGCCCAGGTGCCCGTGGGCTCCTGTTACCCCCAGCTGAGGTCAGGAGGACCCCAGACGACCCAGCCTCATGGTCTTCAACCTCATAAGTAGTTGTCACAGCTGAGAATGTTCTACAACCGTGTTTGCAACAGAACACAGGCTTTTCCTGAAGAACTGGCTCAACTGTCCTGTAAACCTACATTTCAAGAGAATGTTGATTTGATTTGACTTGATCTGATTGATTTGATTGCCATCTCATGGGCAGCGCTGGAGTGGAGGCCTTTTAACGGCAGGCAAGGCCCAGAGAACGAGCATGGCTTTGGCTGTTCCCAATCTAGCACCTTCTCTTCCCCATGGCTGCTCTTTGCAAATACACTCAGTACACTGTTCATCACAAGTAATTACATGATCTTTCAATTATGGAAATGTTTATATATTTTATTTGAAAGGCAGAGGAACAGAAAGACAGAGAGATCTTCCATCTCTGGTTCATTCCTCAAATATCCATGGCAGCCAAATCCGAGCTAGATCAAAGCCAGGAGTCCAGAACCCCACCTCCACCTCCCGTGTGGGCAGCACGGGCCCAAGAGCTAGATCACAGCCAGGAGTCCAGAACCCCACCTCCACCTCCCGTGTGGGCAGCACGGGCCCAAGCACTGGACCCCCTCTTGCTGCCTCCTAGAACGTATGGGCAGGAAGCCGGAACCAGAACTCAGGTGTGGAATGCGACCCACCATGCAACAGTGCCTGCTTTGGCAAAAGTTAAAAATATACAAAAACGGAAAGAACAGACCAAACGAAGCCCACTCGCGTTACAGAGGCCCATCTTCCATACGCAGCCTATCCAGCCTATCCAGACAGCAACCAGCTCAAAATGCCACTTCATGTGGCCCAGGGGTCGTGCACACATCTGAACACACCAGCCCCTTCCCAGGGAGAAAGAGTGGAATCTCTCAGTGACACAGCAAGTTCTCCTTGAGATCCTGTAACAATACTTCAGCACCACAGTATCATATTATACACCATTTACATAAGGGATAAGAAAGAGAAGAAAAAAGGTATTTGATTTCCATACGTACACAAACACATTCATCACATAATCTAGAAGAAACTCCTTGCGATCATTATGGTCCCCACCTCCATGACGAGGACCCCTGCCATGTCCATTAGCATCCCCTTTGCTTCAACAAGCACCTGTGCTTTCCTTGGTTCCCCTTGTCAGGGGATGCAAGCCACCATTCTCAGACACTGGGCCGTGCATGGTCCCGGCTGTGGGGGCAGAAGTCCCCGCCACTGGCCTTCATTACAGGCTGCAGCACACAGAGTGGCTCTGCAGGCTCCCTTCCTTCCCTCTGCGGTAGCACAGGGTCTCAGGGCATGGTGGTGGGCAAGTGCTGCCACCTACTGCTCTCACCAGCACCCAGTTACTCCCACCACCTGCAGGTTCTCAGCACAGTGGCTGTGTTTGCCATAGTAAGGTCTGATCTAACAGAGAAACGACCACAGAGCTTTCTGAGGACTCCGGGGCTGCTGTTGTCCATCCATGTCTCCATCACAGTGACAGGGGTGTGTTCCAGGCCTTCATGGCAGACGACTACGTCTTAAATGACAAACCCATTCTACTATTTCACTTTCCCTGAGCCTTTGAATCGTTCCCTCTGCAGGAATTTGAGGTCCAGCCCACAGGTAAAGAGTTACGACTCAACTGGCTAATCCTCTACCTCCAAGTGCCGGGATCCCATGTGGCCACCGGTTTATGTCCCAGCTATTCCACTTACAACCCAGCTCTGTGCTTGTAGCTTGGAAAGGCAATAGCGAGTGGTCCAAGTCCTTGGGACCCTGCACCCAAATGGGAGACCAGGATGAAGCTCCCAGCTTCTGGCTTCGGATCACCTCAGCTCGTCATTGCTGCCATTAGTGGAGTGAACCAGTGGGTGGAAGGTCTTTCTGTCTGTCCCTTCTTTTCTATATGAATCTGCCTTTCCAACAAAAATAAATAAAGCTTTTTGTTAAAGTTATATGGGTATGGCTAAACACGATTGTACTCTTCAATCAGCACCAGTGTGAGGCAGGCTGACCAAGGACATCCGAGCAAACACCCGGGAGGCTGACTCGTCCCCCTGCCTGTCGCTTGTTTCACATCTTTCCGCTTAATGGCTGACTCAACGGACAGGGAAGTATTGGAAGTCCAAAGTAATCATGACACTCATAGGACAGATCCAGGTTAAACTCAGCACAACAGCACAGGTTTGTTGGTTCAACCAGGATCTGGGAATCGAAGTGAGACTGTATCACCGTGGAGTCCAAAAGGGACTCAACTGGGTTCCCTCAATTTCACAGGTTAAAGCCCTCAACTCCACTAGGCACTTCAAAAATACTATGGATAATTAAATTAAATGATAAACCTTTTTCATCACATAATAATTTGGAAATAGAAGCATCCAAAGTACCTTTTTAAAAACTCATGAAAGGGCCTGGCACAATGTATCAATGGCTAAAACCTCGTCTTGCATCCATTGGGATCCCATATGGGAACCGGTTCTTATCCCGGCAGCTCCACTTCCATCCAGCTCCCTGCTTGTGTCCTGGGAAAGCAGTCGAGGACAGCCCAAAGCCTTGGGACCCTGCACCTGCGCGGGAGACCCGGAAGAGGCTCCTGGCTTCAGAGCAACTCATCTCCAGCTGCTGTGCCTTCTTGGGGAGTGAACCAGTGGAGGAAACTAAGCATTGATGTCGAAATACTTTGCACCAAATTTGTCTTTCAGTTCCATTGTCTGTCAGCTATTGGAACAACTCTCCCACCTGTTGAGGGAGCCCTTCTGGAGATACAGTTAAGTGAGGTCACCGAGGTATCGCCCTAGTTCAGGAAGACCAGTGTCCTGTGGAGGAGACCCGGAGTGTGCATGCACAGGGAGACCACAAGAGGGCACCACAAAACAGCGACTGCAAGCCAGGCAGAGGGGCCCCTCCAGAAACCAAGCCTGCCAGCACCCGGGCTCTGACTTCTGGGCTCTGGAATCCAAAGTTCTGCTCTGCAAGCCTTTGGCTCCATGGTGTCTCCTGGGGCAGCCTGGGCAGACTAAGGCAGAAGGTGCACCAGGGCAACCTGGGAACCTGAACTTACAGGTGGCTACCTGAAGAAGCCCTGGACCTGGGAGACATTATCATGGACTTAGCAGAGAAGGAATTAAATGCAAAGAGATTCTAGAACTGCAGTTTGCATTCCAGAGTCAGTCACAGATGGAAGGTTTGGGGCAGACCGTGCCTGGGTCATCAAGCATGATGGGTCAGGGCACCGAGGCACACAGCTACCTCCTGTTGGCGATCGGAACAAGACTTGTTCCCTGTATCTTGTCTACTTTCCTAACCACCAATCTCTTCCCTACAGCCAATCCACTTGATTCTTTCAATTAAGGCTCGATTCCTTAGGGCTGGAGGGGCAAGTGTTTTGCACAGCAATTAAACCATTGCTTGGGATGTACAAGTCCCATAATTAGAGCCTGGGATTGAGAACCACATGCACTTCCCTTTTGTTTTTTTCTTAAAAGATTCATTTGTTTATTTTAAAGGCGAGGCTATAGAAGGAGAGAGACAGAGAGAAATGAGTCTTCTAGCCACCGTTCACCCCTTAAGTGGCTCTGAAGACCGTGCTGGGCCAGGCAGGTTGCAGGTGGAGCAGCCCATGCCCTCTGACCTGCTGCTGTCCCAGGCTCACTGGTCAGGGAGCAGGACCTCAACTGTCCCGAGCAGCAGTTATCGCACTGGGCCACAATGCCATCCCCTGACCTCACGCCCAACCCACCTGTTAGAGAACCCGGGAGGCAGAAATGAAGACCTGGGTACTTGGCGGATCTGCATGGAGTCTTCCTCGGCTTAACCCTGGCTGTTTCCGGCTCTTGGGGAGTAAATAAGAAGCTAGAAGTTTTTCTCATTCTTGCTCTGTCTCACTCTGCCTCTCTCCCTCCGTTTGTGGCTGTATGCATGTGTGTCTATCAGACAGTCTGTCTCTCGGCCTTTCCAAGAAAATGAAAAGTAAATGTTAACAGGAACGGTAGATGGGACAAGAGTATATGGAGCCACACATGGAGAGAACAGAGCGGGGCGAGATCCATCAGGAGGGAAGACCGAGGCTCCAAGGGCCAGGGCCCAATTGCTTCTGTTTCAGCTGCACCCAGTCTAGCGGCAGGACGGAGTAGGTTTCAAACCTAAATTGCTCTGGTCAGAGCTGAATGGTTCCCGGAAAGCCAAGTGAACCGTGAGATGAGTGTGCAATGAGCTTGGATGTAGCAGCTTACCACGCACACACTTGGCCGGCTCCTTTGAAAGCTTATGGTAATGCAGTTTAAAACCGAGAATGTAAATGATTCAGGACTTTCAGGTGAAATTGCCTCTGTCTCTCACAGCAGCTTTGTGAAGATTAGGGGTAATAAGCAATTACAAGTTTCATAGTTTAAAAGACTTTCATGACCCAGATGTTTCTGATTTAATTGTAATTTATAAATCTTGAGAAATAATAACTTGCAGGTAATTTAAATGACTTTTCTTTGGTACTGAAATCCTATCTCACTGATTTCAATAATTTCTTGTGAATCTGAATGAGTTTCTCTTCTTGAACCAACAGATAAACATAATTTCAAATTTTGGGCAAAGGATATTTGCTCAGAAGACAATAAATTGATAGAAACTATCTTTTAATGCCATCTAGTGTCCACTGAGCTTGGAAAATTAAAAATAAATCCTCAAAAACCTACTAAGAATACTGAAAAGAAAGTTACCCAGGCCCCTGACCCAATGTAAGAATTCAACAGAATTCTCCTTCCGTACCCTGTGGACAACGGAAGGTCCACAATGTGTCTTTAAATGGTGGACGCTGCTGTAAAATCCTCCGCCCGTGCCTGGACCATGACCTTCCTCTTAGGGGCCAAGATCTAGAGTTCTGGTTCGCCTGTCTCCCACTTACTATGGCTAAAATCTCTTGGACAATACGGATACCATGTGGAATTCTGGGAAGTGAGCAAGGTGGAGGCACACTTGCCATCGCCCCCGAGGGAGGAGCGCGCGCCCTCTGCCTGGCCTGCCCTTCCGCCCGACCTGGGCAGGCCAGGACTGCGGCCACACGTGGTACACACGCACCGCGCTGAGTGTGTCACACACACCGCCTTCTGCCACGGCTGAGGCATGATGGAGCAGACTTCATGCAAACCCTTGGTCCCCGGCCCCGCTCGGTTTGGGGGCGGTGCTGAGGGCTGCTGTTTACTGGGGAGGCATGTTTTGGGGGGCTGCCTCCTGCCAGGTGACAAGCACCCATGAGGGCTCCTGCATTGCCCTGGCCTAGTGAGGGGAACCCACAGGGCTCCCGGCTGCCCAGGGAGCAGAAGGCTCAGGGCCCCCACCCCGTGCGGCCCCGCACTGCAGCAGGTGCATGTCC